TTTCTTGGCATAAATGCTCAGTCATGGTGGTTGGCAACGACCGCCAACCTCAATTAAACTTTAAGGTCACGCCATAAATGTGCCTGGGGTTATTAAGGATCTGGGCGTATCATACTCCAAGAGTCTCAGGCTCTCGGAACAGCGTGCCGTGATAGTATCCAAAGCACGTAGAACGACCAGGTTTATCCTCTGAAACTGTCAAACTAGGGACAGTAGAATGCGCCCTTACAACATGTACGTTAGACCAGGCCTGGAATACGGTTCGTTTTTATTTAGCGTCATGCGTGCTACTGAGCAGAAGAAATAAGAATCCTTTCAACACTTTTTACCAAGAGAGTTTTAAACTCGGATTACCGACATTTGTCTTACCAAGAACGTTGCCGCCTTACGGGCCCTGATCCTTTATTGTTCCGTAGATTTCAAAAGGGACTATTTTCTGCTATTTAAGCTCGTATATAATCATACATTTAACCCGTTATTTATTTTGATCTTAGTAAAGCCTTCGATAAAGTACCACATAAAAGACTCTTGATTAAATTGGTAGCTATGGGAATTCGCAGTCCACTAATAGACTTTCTCAGGTCATACCTGTCTAATGGTAAAGAAAAAGTTTTGGTGGGATCTTCACTTTCCAGTGAAAGTCCTATTGTAAGCGGTGTCCTAAAAGGTACCGTTTTAGGTCCTCTTTTGTTCTTGCTTTACATAAATGATATTTCAGCAGCAGTTAAACATTCTCAATCATTTATTTATGCCGATGTATATTCTTTCAAAAACTCTACGAGCCTTCATTGCCTGGAGCAAATGCATGCTGACTTGCTTGCTCCCTCAGCTTGGAGCTCAAAATGGCTAATGGAATTCTCTCCGTCTAAATGTCGCTTTATGTGCTTTGGGCCTGATAGGCTACCCCAACCAGTGGTTTTTCAAGGCACACCTATGACTGAATGTACCACCATCAAGGATTTAGGTTTAATCTACATTAGTAATCTTGATCCCTCGCCGCACGCTGACAGAATTACAGCCAAAGCTGCCCAGATTTGTGGCTTTATTTCTTACAATTTATATCTTCCTGAAATTAGATTAAGGCTCTATCGTATGTTTGTACTTCCCATTCTCGAGTATTGTTGCCCATTCTTTGGTTTGATGAATGAAGCCAGTCGTTTAAAAATTGAAAATGTCCAAAGACGTTTTTCAAAAAAACTTTTAGATAGGGAACATCCCAATATCTCCTACTCAGATAGATGCCAGCAAATTAACCTAAAATTTTTATGGCTTCGAAGACTAGAAGCGGGCTTCTGTCTCCTCTTTCGCATTAATCATAGTTCAAATTTTCCTCGGATTTCAGCACTTACCCCTAGTAGTCGCCCATTACAATCTTCGCAATTCGTCTCAAATTATACCTCCTCCAGCGTCCTCCACCTCTATGCGCTCCCTTTTTTTCTCTTCTAGGTATACTTTCCTCTGGAATAGCCTTCCAATAAATATAAGATCTTCAGAAAATCTACACACCTTTAAGAGAAGGCTACGCCTTTATCTGAATACTGACTCGATTAAACTTTTATTTTCCTCATCCTTCCCAGACAACTTTTTCTATGACATTGAGAAAGGGTCACCGGGAATTTAGCATTCCGCGATTAAATTTCCGTATCTGTTCACGTTTCCTTCCTTTGTGAGTAGTCTCGCTACCTAAGATCCCTCACCAGGAATGTTACTTATTCCAATTTTTCAATTCATGCATCGTGCCCTCACAGAATGCGCTCCACCGACGCTCTTGGCGAAGCCTTCTATATTCGCCATATACTAGTAATCTGGTCGCATCTCCTTTGCCCTATCCTCGGATGGACTCTGATGAATGTAACTGACCGCATCTGGGTTCTTGTCGCCTCGAGACTGGTTGTCATCGTGCCCTTACAGAATGCGCTCCATCGGCGATCTTGGCGAAGCCTTCTATATTCGCCATATACTAGTAGTCTGGTCGCATCTCCCTTCCCCCATGCTCGGATGGACTCGGTTGAATGAAACCGACCGCATCTGGGTTCCTATCAGCTCGAGACTAGTTTTCAATTTCGCCACTTATTTATCTTATTCAAGGCCACATACAGGCCAGTCCTGACCGACCCGCCTACGTAGCATTTTATGAAATCAGTTACACAATGCCATATACAGCTGACATTTATTTCGGCCATGTTGATGTCCGACTATATTCCATTCTATACCGCCACATGCAGGCCAGTCCTCCCTGCATTTTTCTGATGCTATTTTTGAGGTTTTTTTCTCCTGTTAAATTAATACAATCATTTTTAAGTTTTGCTATTGATTTTTTTTCACCCCTCGTTTTTCACTTTGCTTAACGGACTTTTAATCTCAAAAACTATGCATTGCACTTTGTACAGATTTTGCCTACCTCGTCTAAAATTCGCATGTAAATTTGTTTTTAGTTGCTTTGATGCGACCCCGACGAGTCTTTAATAATAAAAATAATTGAATTGAATTGAATTGAATCTAAGACATCATGTCCACCTCGACGTAACAGTCACCGTGAAGTCTTTATTTCTTCCACTGGCACGTACTGTTAAATATCGTCGGACTTTTCTGTAAATGCAATTGCTATTGGGAATAAATTACTCATGACTGGGTAAACTCTGCAAAATTATCCTTTATTTAGGAGAACTGTTACTCGATTTGTGCATCCAGAATAGCTCCCTCAAATTTTAGGTGCTGAGTCCACTGATCGACTGCACCGTAGCGATGGCGTTTGTGATCTCTGAACACTATGGCCGGTCTCACCAGGGACAGTTTCTTTGGCCGACATCGACAGCTGTTCTTCGGCGCCTCTATTTTGACTTTCCACAACCTCATGAAAGGAACTGGCGCCTGATAATCTCCGATACCGTGCCATCCCTCCCTTCTTGACGGTCGAGAGTTTGTGTAAGGCCCCCACAAATTTTGGCTGCTCAAACCTCTGATCTGCTGTACCGTAGCGATGGCGTCTGTAGTCCCTGACCAATGTAGCCGGTCTCACCAGGGACAATTTCTTTGGTCAACAGCGACAGATGTTCTTCGGCGCTTATGTTTGGACAAGCCCCAAATTCTTGAAAGAAATTGCCGACTGATATTATCCGATACAGTGCAGCCCCTCCCTTCTTGACGGTCAGAAGTTTGTCGCCAGCAGTTTTTTTCTCCTGAACCCTCCAAACCTTAAAAACCATCAACTATATTTTTATTTTTTTCCCACAGGAGTTTTATTCACTGCTGGCCGGGTTTGTGTTTAGCGCTTCCCAGACATTGCCAGTAAACTTGCATTAAATAAAATTTTCATTATTAATCGTCTCGTGCAGGTCATTCCACGGTTCCACGACACGGCTGGTGAAGAAATACTTTCTCACACTTAATCTACCTTGGAGCACACGTAGTTTTAATGGACATCCCCGAAGGTTAGTTACAGTTGCGAGTTGGAAAAAGTGGTCGCAATGGACGGCGCAGTCCAAGCGATGCACGATGCGGAAAGTTTGTATCAAGTCTCCGCGCAACTGCCTATAACTCAGAGGAAATATTTTAGAGTTAGTTAGTCGGATCTCGTATGGCAGTGCATCTTGACCTCTTATTAATTTTGTTGTTCGCCTCTACAATCGTTCGAGCAGATTGTGATGCTGCTGCGTCCACGGTCTCCAGGCCTATACTGCATATTCGAGATGCGGCCGAAAACCTTGGAGAAGAGGTCTTCATCGGAAACTGCCAATGTTCGCTTGATAGCGTATAGCATTAATGTTGCGGCCTCGGCCACCTTACAACATTGTGTAGACGGCCTTATGGGTGTCTGCAACCAAGATTCTGAGATCTTTCTGCACTTTTGTTTCTCGGAGTGGCATTTCGTTCAGATGGTATTGCCGCGTACTAGGGGCCTGATTTACGAGACACAGTATGCTGGATTTGTTAAGATTGAAGGACACGAACTATCTGCCGGACTACTCGTTTAATCGACAAAAATTTGCTCATAAGTCAATCTCGTCGGCATTATTCCGGATGAATTTCCAGATTTCTATTTCATCTTCAAACACGCCACCATCACAGTACTGTATAAAGGATTCAAAGTGAATATTGTCAGGGCAGAATTCATACACCTCATGAGGCCATTGGCGTCAACGCAGGCAGGCGGGAGGAACCCAGACGCCATAGGTCACAGTCCGCTTCTAGCCCAGCCGAGGAGGGGGCAAGGGAGATATGACAAAACTACTAGTAGAGAGCGAATACTGAGGGTTTCGCTGTTAGCGTCGACACACTGCTTAGTGACGAAATGAGGAAATGACATCAAGCACCGCGAAAATCGTCGCTATGGAGGAGGAGTGGTAGCAGTGGATTTAAAAACTAATTCCAAGCAGGGTTTCTAATTATATAATTGAGGGTTTCCAATTGATCTACCACTAAATCCCACGAGAACACTTCTCGAAGTCAAGAAGTTGAGTGTTCGGGAATGAGACCACTGACAGTACCTTTATACTTTCCGGTGTAAGGTGTTTGCGTAATTTTGATTTTAGAGTTGCGAAAATCCCCATAGTAGTAATCAGAAAACGAGGTGGCGAGCATACGTAGCTTTCGATAAATTCTCATCGGGCCAGTACAGTTATATAGAAACGGGGTAGAAGTCAAACATGTCACCGATAAGACAAATCGATAAAAGTTCTCCTTAAAACACAGGCGGGGTGTGGGACTGTGGGGAGGGGGGTAGGGGGTGGTGGTAGTAGTAATTGTCAGGTGCGGGTGAGAGCGGAAGTGCGCGGGGGGAGTTGCACCGTTAGTCAACCTTCGACCACTGTAGGCGCGGAGCCTGAACGTGGTTCTTCTGTGTGCATAAGGCTGGCTTTCGTAACCTAATGGCGGCCGCTTCCGCTGTCGCTAACAGGCACTGGCCTAGTAGCTTAGGGTAGCTCGATGGGACCTTATAAATCACGCGAAGCGCTTCGTTAGGGTCCACACGATGTCCGGAATCGACCGCATGCGCGAGAATGGCTCTGCTGATGCTCCTGGTTTCGCCTTTTCCACAGGAGCAAGTGAAGGAATATATGCACAATGAGGTGGTCTGCGGTGACAACTTATCCTTACCTTCCCCGCGTAAAATACGGTTAGTGGAGAATGATAGTTAAACCCTTGCAGCTGGGAAGGTTCGCGAGACAGCTTGATCAAGGCGTCTCCTTAGGAGTTCACTCGTCGCGTCCCCTTGGAAAGGGACTTTGAGGAACAAATGTTTCTTTTCAGCGGTCGGTGTGGCGGGTTTGACCGGTATTTCGGCAATGTTCCGTGCAATGAATCTGTCAGGATACCCGTTTTCTCGAAGAAAGTCCTGGATTTTTCTGATCTCCTCCTCGATGCTATCTGTTGAGCAAATTTTTCTAGCTTTTTGCGCCAAATATCGGACTAGATTTCGTTTTTGTTGGAGGGGTACGAATCTGGCAAAGTTCGTGTATTGTCCAGACCAGATTTTCTTCCGATAGACGCTTCTTCGGACACTGCCGTCAGGTCTCCTGCTTAGAAGAAAATCTAAGGAAGGGAGCGAACCAGCCGTTTCCATCTCCAGCGTGAATTTGATTGACGGATGTGCCTGATTTGCTGCATCTAAGAGGGTAGCTACGTCGGTTTCTGCAGTGGCAATTGCAAAGATATCATCAACATAGCGACCGTAATGTTTAAGCTTATCGATCTGATCGCATAGTTGGAATCTCTCTAATTTGCTCATGAAGACATCTGCTAGGAGAGGTCCAAGGGGTGAGCCTATAGCAACGCCGTCTACTTGTGTAAAGAGTTGGTTGTCGAACAGGAACTGCATATTTAATGTGCATCTTAGTAATAGTTCCTTGAGTGTCTTCATCGGAATTCCTATTTCCTGCTGATTGGCAGATAGAAACTCATAGATTTCATCAACTGTCTCGGTGACCGGAACGTTTGTAAAAAGTGATGAGACGTCTAGCGAGAATATCATCATGCCGTTGACGTTAAGATCTTTGATGTCGTCAATGAATTCAAACGTATCTCGGTAGCTCCGTGGTGCTAGCTGACTCTGTACGGGCTTGAGTTTCTCTGCTAGCCACTTTGCTATCGCATGATACGGAGAGTTTCGCATGTCTGATTTGAATGCGCGTAACTTTGCCATTTTTCTAAAGCATTAACCATTTCCTCATTGCATAGGGTAAAATTGTCGCACATACCACAAAAGTTTGGTGCAAGTGGACAAGATAATCCGCGTGGCAATTGCGTTCAGTCTTCAGAAAATTTCGTCAAAACTTTGAAGAGCACCCTAACACACCGAAGTCTGTGAACTCGAACAAATCGTTGGTGTATACTCGTTCGGCTCTGTAATCTGCATCTTGGGCTGATTTAGTGACCTCATTGACCTTAAGTGCGTTGTAAGCTTGAGTTACTTTGGTGTTTGTGCTGCGCACTCTGCGCTCTTGTTTTAGCTTCATAAGAGGCTTGCGTCGACTGCGTCTTCTCTCTGTGATGTCCAATTCTGATAGGCCTCCGTACATAACGTTAGAGACCTCGTAAAGTCCTACTTACTTTAATTCTTGCTCTTAGACAAGGAGATATAGTTATAGAGCTCTACTGGAACCACGCTCCTCAGACGTGCAAAAACTTTGCCGAATTGGCCAAAAGAGGCTACTACACCGACGTGCCCTTTCACCGTGTGATACGGGATTTCATGATTCAGGGCGGAGACCCTACTGGTACAGGTCGCGGCGGTGCCTCCATTTATGGTCGTTATTTTGAAGATGAAATTCACCCAGATTTGAAGCACTCTGGTAATACTAATTGCAATACCTATCTAAACACCAAGGCGCTGGAATTGTATCCATGGCAAACGCTGGTCCAAATACAAACGGAAGCCAATTTTTCATTACGCTGGCCCCCACTCAGTGGCTGGATGGGAAACACACTATTTTCGGACGCGTTAATTCCGGAATGCAAGTTGTCAAAAGGCTTGGTAAGGTGTTACTTTCGTTTGCAACTGTTTAAGGTATGGTCGAAACCGATGCGGCTGACCGTCCAGTGGAGCCTCTCAAAATCAAGCGAGCATATGTCCCCACAGCTGTTTGATGCTTGCAGCCAACGGAATACTGTACATATGTTTTATATTCCTGTAAACTTCGAATGCACTTGCTATTTCATCGGCTCAAAGAGGTTGTCGGTTGTGTCGGTGACGAGTTTATAATGGTTCATTTAGCTATGAACTACGAGTCCTTTATATTGCGTACCTGTTATCCGCGAGTAGTCACGATTTCATCAGCCTTCATTCTGAAACGGACCATCTCGTCTACAACCTTCGTGACACTTTTGTTCTCGTGCTTGATACGCAATGAACATGTTGGCCTGCATAGTGTCTGTACACTCCTTCCTTTGGCGGAAATCGCAAAAACATGACGCTGGGTATCCCTTTCACTAATTAAGAAGATTAGGTATTGAGGCTTCAGGCACCACTTTCGTAGTCGATGCAGTGCGTAGGGATTGACTTAATGCCCACTTCATTGTCTGTTATGCAACAACATGACCCGGGGGCACCTGAATTCTCCCCTGAGACAAACCTAATCAGACACGCGCTGGTAGGATTTCGGTTTTTGCGATGTTGGTGGCTGGACCAACGAATTTAGAATGATTAGCTGGGGTTGTAAGTTCTCCCTGCCAACATAACAGCAAGAGGACGATACCCTTATTTTAGTCGAAAGTAGTCAGCTGACGTCATAAGAAAAGGTCGCCATCCTCAAAATCACGTGTGACATATCTGAAGAAGCAGTTATTAGTTATTTAATAGCATTGGCGGATGGACACCCCTGCAAAACGTCCATTCGACTGTCGGATGGTTGAGCAGATCTCTTGCACAAGTTCACTAACAAAGATAAAACACTAAAGCGCATGCACCAGCGCCACCACCTCACGGGCGCATCAGCGAGGACAGGCATTTTCTGACCATCCGCCGATATTTCTGTCGTTTGCGGACTGTAGAGTGACCTTATGTTGGGCTAGTTGTCAACTGGCATGCCTGCGGTTGTGGTTGTTGCAGCTGGGAAAAGTACTAGAAGCACGCTCGAGCAAGCATTCGAAGCATTTATCGGTAACCGGTCTACACCAAAACTTGCTAAAAAACCAAATGTCTGGACGCATGATGGCATTCCTTGCTATGTCGTCCGTAACAATCAACCTGTCGTACAACCCTGGTCCAGTTTAAGCTTATTCTCACCAAGGCTTTACTAAGTCAGGAAGGCATTGAGCCTGACATGTATGTACTCTCCTTCAACTTGGTCTCCTAAGCCTAATACCACAAGTTGTCTACCTGTTCGGACACGTCGGACTCTGATTTCGGGCAGATCCAATTGTTCTGGACGGACTACTTTCCTTTTACTATAATTGTTTTTGCAACTATTCAGTAGGCAGCTCGGCGATTGTTCTGACATCGCTTATGTTTGAAGCTGTCACCACCGAATAACGGTTTAATTAACCTGCTTACTTAGCTACTACCTACACGCGTGCTGCACAGTGGGAACCCCTCAGTGGATGCTATCTGACAAACAGGCAGACTTGTTTTTGGTGAGCAGACAGCGCCAACATGATGCGGAGTGCGTACGTCTTGTAAATTAACTACCACATAGTGCCGTAGAGTCCGATATCAGTATTTAGGCATGGCAAGCACTAACAGTCACCAACTGGGTCCTTCATGCTACAGATGTCCTGTTACTCTAACCTCTATTTACAGATTAGGCTAATCGTAACCATGGGAGTGTTAGCTTATCCCATTTTAAGCGCCCTATACACTCATGTCGCTCGGACACGTTGTACCTGTACGCTTCCTTGATGCTGTTGTCAGCGCTGTGCGTAGCTTGTGCCTCGCGAAGCGTGTTAGGGCAAAATCCGGACAAGATGCGGACGTCTGGAAGGACCCTTGGTTAATAAGCAGTGGAAGGATGTGCGATGCAGTGGGCCGCGTGATTGTTACGAACACTTGCCTTTGGCGCCGAAACTATCTGGTCTCCCGGTAGTTTACTGATGTCCACACTTATTATAAAGTCAATTGTATATTTGCCCGAGCACGTTGGGTTAGCTTAACACCAGGGTCTACGTTTAGTGCTAACTGCGAATGGATGCGACCCTGAAATATGGGTTACCCATTAACCTGGCTGTTGGTTACCGTGAAATTGTACAAGTGGCGGCTAGTGGAATGGCCTTCAGCGAAGGCTAACTGCGAAATAAGCAGACTTTCAGGTGTGATGAATGAGCAATCGCGAAACATCAGTGACGGCGCTACTGGGGTGTGGAAGGCTGGGGGCCGGCACGCTGATAGCTCTATAAAATGCCGCAAAGTCCAATGACGACACTGCGACCTTACGACCCTGGACCGCCATTAAATAAGTTTGTTTGCGGCAGCAGCAACCTTGTGACCAAGCTTTTAAACCAAAGCGCTATAGAAGACAACTTCGAACAAATTGTCCGAGAGCTGTTGAGAACCCGCCAAGACACGATCCATGCTACGACGTCCGCGGGGACCGACCTGCTCCTCAATCCTGATGCCGTGGTGCTGAAGAATAGTATGCGAACTGGACTATTCAGTCAGGAACGGACCTTAGGTATTTGGTGTTGGAATCTGCGAAAGTCCCTGGACCCTGGTATGCGATGTCTGACGGCGCATTGTCCTCACTGGTACGATGTGAATATTTTCTGCCTGTCCGAATTCCCGATCCTCGCAATCGGCAAATAAAGGTCCCGGCAATCAGCTTACACTTAACCTTGTACCATAGCGGTCCAAGCGACTTCTCGCAAACACGGTGTAGCGGTAGACCTCTCCCAACAAATGAACCGCGCACTACTCGCTTGGAAACTAATCAATGGCCTATGTGCGACTAAAGGGCCACCTCACGAACATCACTGCCGTCTGCGTGTACGCATCAACAGTGCAATGAAGATATTTCTGCTCGCAGCTGCAAACGTTAGTTGAGAGACTCCTCCGCCGTGATCTGTTGGCTTTGCTGGGGACTGAAATGGCCGAACTGGACTTATCGACTTTTCCAACACCCACCTTATTGGCCGCTTTGAGCTTACTTCACGATGTGCAATGTTAAGAGATTGCTGGACTTTGCCGATCAGAACTGACCATTTGTCACCCGCACGTGCTTACAGCATCGTCGCAAGCATCTGCTAATCTTGTGTTCAACCACCATATGGCCAGTCAGGTCTATTACACTCCAGTCCAAGGTTCCGCAGCTGAATTCACGATAGCAGATCGGTGCGTGGTGCCGAGACTGGCAACGCCTATAGGTCGGACCATGTTCTCGTTCTCACACTTGAAAGCTCACCTCTCATCTGCATCCAAGACGCTGCGTGCAAGACGTCTCGATGTCGCCAACCTGCGACAGCTCAGCATTACCGAGGCCCTGAAAAGAGAAATCTGGTCCTGTTTTACGACTCGAGTCAACGGAGACGTCAGTAGCCTGTGGTCGTCATTAAAGTCATCGGTCAATGGGGCAGCTGACAACGTTCTTGGATACACCCAGCGACGCCGTAGTGACTGGATTAGCGGAAAAACCTTGCAGTTGTCTGCTCTAAACGCTCGAGCCAGATCCCGTAGTAGTGACCCCTTCTGCCAACTCCGGAAAATGACGGCAAAATCGCTATGAATGACCGAAATTAATATTGAACTGAAACAACCACCTTCATAGGGCAAGCCTCAAACGTTGGAAACACTCGAAAACCTTACCAACTTATATGCCAAGTTAGTGGTAAACCCTCGATACCGAGCAAGTCTGTCCGCGATGCGAACGACGGTTTTATTGCAGACGACTCGAACAAGATCGGCTGCTGGCGTGAGCACTTCGGGCACCTCAACTTTGATAAGCAACCCACCACACCCTCGCCCTCCCCTGCTGCGAAGTTTTATCCTACTTCAACTTTTGCATTGACATGCCAATTTTCTTCTGAAGAAGTCGCTGATTCAATACGAAGGCTGCACAACAACAGGCCACCTGGAGAGGAAAGTATTCCCGGCGAAATATGCCAGTCTTTTGTCGACAGTCTGACGCTCTGGTTCCATAAGGTGATTGAGCAAGCATGGGGAGGTTAGATCGTTCCTGATGACTGGGGCTCGGGCATCCTCGTGCCTGTTTTCAAGAAGGGTGGTACGACAGGATGTGAGAACTGCCGTTCTATAAGCTTCGTTGGCGTTGCTACGAAGGTTTTCATCGTAGTCCTTTCAAGGCGATTCCAGGCTGTTCTTGACTCTGGAGCGAGGCTTAGTCCGGATTTCGAGCTGGGTGGGGATCCGCGGATTGGATATTCACACCGAGGCGCATTATTGAATTTCATCATAGCCACCAACAACAGACGGCCGTCTGCTTTGTTGACTCCGCAGCTGCGTTCGGTTCCGTTCATCGTGAGTCCTTGTGGCGAATGATGCAAGTAGATGATGCGGTGGTCAAAATCATCGTCGTGATCAAGGCCTACTACCGCTCAACCGCTGTGCGAGTTCTAGTCCATAGCAATCTCTCCGGGCCGTTGAATACTCGATCCGACGTTCGTCAGGGTTGTATCCTGTCGCCCATTTTGTTCGATTACGCATTAATTGGATTCTGGCGAACCCCCTATGCGACGTTAACAGTCTTGAGATTGCATTCGGTCGCTGACTGACTGATCTTGACTACGCTAATGATATGGCCTTCTAGATTCAAGCTTTGGTAATTTGTGGTATTTAGTGTCCCGGGTGAATGAGATCCCTAAGGCCGTCGGTTTATCCACAAACGCTGGGAAGAACAAAGTGTTTTTACGCTGCATTCCTGGCTAGGAGAAAGCACCTCTCAAGATAAATGACTGTCAGTGTAAAGATGTAGGTAGTTCGAAATACCCCAGGACGAGGCTACAGTGAAGTGAATAGAATCGACGCTGCCCAAAGGCTTTTCTTAAGCCCTTGAAAGTGTCTATGGACTTAGCGCGACATCTCCATCGCCACGAAGATGTGTACCGTACATCCACTTGGTCCGTCCCTCAGTACGGTTGTAAATGCTGGGCTGTGCGCGTGGATTGTTGACTGTTAACTTTGGGAAGCAGACAGTTTAAAA